AGGGTTCAGGGTTTAGGGTGGGCTTGGCTTATACGTCCTCACATAGCACAGCTTTGCAAGCTTACGGGGAGGGGGAAGTATCATTGCTTTCCTATTCCGGCGGTCAAGGGTAGGTAGCCTGGCACACGCCATTGTATAAAAAGTCACTAAGTAATGAGATTCCCAAGTCTTGGCGGGTCCTTCAGTTTCCTCCACGTGAGCTATAATCTAAACTCCTAGTATCCCCCTTGAAAAGCTCCATAGTACTCCCCTAAAAGGAACCTTACCTAATCCACTTTCAGGAGGTTAGGCTATAGCTCATGTCTGCAAAAGCTCACCCTGAACCCTAAACCCTGCAGCGCGTGGGAGCTGCGCGTCCCAAGCCCAACGCGCGAAACTGTGTCGGTAGTATCAGGTGCGGCCCTGGCTTCTTGAAGTCCCATCCAGGTTTAAGGTTTAGGTTTTAGCTGTTTACTTCTCCACGTTTGGGGCATGGGCCCAAAGATTTTGCACATTCATTTCTTAGAAGATTGCTTCCGACCTTTTGACAATCTGCCATCTCCTGAAAGCACTTGTTTCTATGGCCTTTTGCCCCCGACCCTACCTTGCTCTAGTTGGAAAGCTTAAACCCTAAACCCCTAAACCCAAAACCCTAAACCCTTGTTCTAGTCTGGAAAGCCTACAATCCCCTGTTTGCCGTTTTGGAACCCAAGGATAACTGTGGTGGCCATGGCGACACCTTTGGCCACTACCACTACCACGCCCCTCCCCTGTACCTCGGCAGCCACACGGTGTAGGATACTACCCCCCAGGTTCCTCCTTAATTAGCCTTAATTAGGCTTAACTATTCTAAATAACCTTAGTTAAGGAGGGAACCTAGGGGGGTAGTATAGAGGGGGGTACTAGGGGAACCTATGAGTTTTGGGTTTAGGGATTGCTCTTGCTGATCTTTATGTTGTTTTCATATTCATCTCGGTCACTAGAACACGCTGCGGCGGAATTTTGACAACGGTAGGACCGTCATCATCGTATTAATGATTTTACTGTTACCATTGTTATTCGTATTATTGATGATGCTTTTGTTCAGGGTTCTATAGGGCGATGTTGGGGTGCGATTTGGATTAATTCATATTTTCGTTTTCCTTCTTTAGAGAAAGAGGCCAGGAGAGGAGGAACATGAGGAGATGATGAGAAGCCTGTGCACTGCGGGTACGGGTAGTCCCGCTCACTTCGTACCACATCTTCAATCATGTTCTAGTAGTGTTTGTGGTCACTATTTTCAGATCTTCTATCAAGACTTTGAGAACTCATGCTATACATAAGAGAAAAACCGTACATGGTAGTTTCCCTAAGTAGGGGGACCCCAATATAGACCCCAAAATACTATATAGTCTCTGTTACTTTAAACCCTAAACCACATTGATCCTCTTAACAAGCAGGTGCCTCCTGCGTTCGCTGGGCGTGGCGGTGCCCGCAGGCAACTGGTGGAAGACCGGTGGCAGGGCCTCCTGGGCAGCCCAAGGCCCTGAGGCGCCAAGGGGGTTTAGGGGTTTAGGGTTGAACTTACTGGTTCTTAGTAGGGAATATGGGAATATGTTACTCCTTGGGATGTAGCTCGGACCTTGGACCCTTAACCCTTTGGGATTCCCTTATACTCCTATTGTAGGTACCTGAGGGTTAACCACTTGGTAGGGGTCCTGAGCGCCACGTAGATTATATGAGCTCTAGTCTAAACTCCCAGCATCCCCCTTCATAACCCCTGTTGTAGTCCCCTATATAATCCCCTACATAACACCCTTTAAGGAGTTTAGACCAGTTTAGACTATAGCTCAGATAGGGAATGGATAGGGATTATATCCCCTTACTTCATGCTAAGAACGCGTAGGCTAAGTCTCCGGCGTCAACATTTAAGGCCTGGGTTTAGGGAGTTTAGGCTGTAGGCGCTCAGGGATATTCATTTAGGGATTTGGGTCTTCGGTTTTTGGGGCTGTTTTGGGGTTAAGGATTTAGGTTGGAGGCGAAGTGGGGTTGTGCTCTTCTGTGTTGAAGGCTGACAGACGGGCTATACTACGGTCCCTATCACTATCATATGACGATATGAGGGTCTTAACTTTTGGGGGGGGTTGGGCACTTAACATCCCACCATTATTTTTTGATTCACATATGGCGCTGTGCTCCTCAAAAACACCTCTAGATGGTCCGGTAGTTGCCCTAATCAGGGGGACCCCAATATAGACCCCAATATATTTTTGTCCTTATTATGGGGACACCCAAAAAGGGACCCTAAACCCTAGACGGGGGGGCCAACAGTCCCCTCAGCTACTCCAAAGGCACGATACTGAGTTATGGTTTAGGGTTTAGGGCTTATAAGGTTTAGGGTTTCGGGTTTTAGGGGCAGGTTTTAGGATAGAGGTTCCTAGGAACTTCAGTGAATCTATGTATGTATGGAGTGTTTTTCAAGACACCAGAAAGCAAACATCTGCCCGAAACCCTCTAAAGCCTTCACTGCGTAGCTTAACACAACTCGTCACCCAAAAGATGCTTGGAGCTTCACAGAGGACACCTTTGCTGTACGCGGCGTCATATACCTTCCTATCCTTCGCCAGTGAGGGTGCCCTTCTAGTCGCAACTTTAAAGCTCTGAATGGCCGCTGTGTAACTTTCAAAGCTAATTTCTAGCACAACCACTTCATGGAGGACCGATATAACTAGGGTACACAATATCCAAAAGCCAATTCAAGTCTCATAGGGTCGTAGATGAGGTTGCTGAGGTAAGCCCTAAGTCCTAATCAGTTGCCTAAGCCGTAGATTCAAATTTTGGAGCCGTAATTCCCAACCTTAAGCCGAGACGCCACATTATGTACGGTGTAGGGTTTAGGGCTCAGGGTTTCATATCTAAATCCGAAGCTGCTTTCAAACCTGAATTTTGAACCCACACAGAAACCGAATTCTGAACTCGAAAGTAACAAACAGAAACTCTCCATTTTAGCAATAAATCATGGAAACAAGAGACAGGTCTGATCCCCCTAAGTTGGTTTTAGGGTTTAGCGTTTAGGGTTTAGGGCCTTAGGTATCCTACTATCCCCACATATCCCTTGCGGCTCTACGGTTCCCTCTCCCTAAACCCTGTAAAGCTTCGCCTCCTGTAAACCCCAAACCCTGAGTCCTTAACCCTAAATCCTAAACCCTAAATCCTAAGCCCTAAACAGCATTTCTTCAGCGGTTGCAGGTTCAAGTCGGATGGGCTCTTGACGGCGCGCGCCGTGGCGAATTCTTTCTTGGTGGTTCTAGAGTTTTGGGTTCTGGGTCTAGGGTCTTGGCGTTTTGGTGCTAGAGTTTGGGATGTAGGGTCTAGGGTGTAGGGGTCAGGGTTGGGTTTTGTTGCCAGAGTTTTAGGCTTATGGATCTGAGGTTTGGGGTTTTAGGTCACGGTCCAGGTCAAGGGTTTTGGGGCCGTAGTTTGGGGTTTAGAGTTTTAGGTTCTGGGGCTCTGGGGTTTTGGTGCTGGCGTTTGTTGGGGTGTAGGGTCTCGGGTTAGAGGGAACGCTTTGAAGGCTTTTGCATATCGTAAAAGTTCCATCCCCTGAACGTTCATGATTGTAAGGGCTTAGAAGATTTGGGGATTCCACATTAAGAGTGGGAAAGCCCGAGAACATATGATTCAGGACCTAAAGTTCAGGGTTCGTAGTTATCCCTCCCAAGATTAACATGAACCAGCAAGCCCCATTGCTGAGGACAGTAGTCTTGACAGGGCACGTTTAGGGTCCCATGTTGCTTTGGGGAAGGGTGACACTTAATGTTTTGCTTAAGTTCTCCGTCCAGCGTCAGAGTTCCTCAAAACTACCTACGTACAGTCCTATGTCAGGACGGGAAGAAACTTAGCTTTAGAACCAGGTTATAACCTACATCCCCACTGCTTACTGTTATAGATATGATACTTACCTAGGTCCTCTGAAAGGAGGACTATGAGTTATGGAAGCCTAAATCCAAGAGCCGCCGCTCGATCCTTGTTTTGAGGCCTATCATGGGACCTTACCGTGCTGGGGTGCTGGCAGATGTTGCAGCCCTTGATGCACCTCCGGCGAGTTCAGTACCACATGGGGCTTTCATACGCTAATCCTCTACGCCCAAACTAGTTGCCGTGTCTGAAGTGGGCGTAGTGCTAGGATTTCGACGGGAGGTAAGTGTGCAGGGCGTTGAATTCAAGTGGTTCGAGTGTACGTCAAAACGCCCGGAAGAATCTGGTGGTGATTGAGCTCTAGACCATAAACTCTAAACCCTGTAACCGTGTGTACTCTTTCGGAGACGCTGAGCACGTCGACCTGCATACCCTGAACCCCTAAATCCCGATCCGTCAGGGTTTAGGGTTGAGGGGGCGAGGACGCCGGGTCGCCCTCATTGCCAAACATGAGCTATAGTCTGAACTCCTTAAATGGGGTTTTCTAGGGGAGTATGATAAGGGTTATTAAGGATGGTACTAGGAGTTTAGATTATAACCCCTACATAATCCCCTATATAATCCAAGTTTCCATTTCATTTTCCATGATCTTTTCCAATTCGATTCTCCATTATTGGGTATAAACCCTAAACCCTAAATAATGGTTTCCATTTCATCTTCCATTTTCTTTTCCATTTGATTTTCCATCATTAGGCGGGATACTAGGAGTTTAGACTCCAAACCCTAAATCCTACTCCCTAAACCCGAAACCCTAAACCCTATACTAAATAGGGGTTATTAAGGGGAGACTAGGAGTGTAGACTTTGGCTCACATGCCTTGGCAGGAATGCCACGGTGCGATCGACGAGGCTACCCGCGAATACAAGTACTACATGGTACCTTGACAGGTTTAGGGTTTACGGTTTAGGTTTTAGGGTTTAGGGTTTAGGGTTTAGGGTCTAGGGTTTAGGGCTTAGGGTTTAGGGTCTCTATAGGGCTTAGGGTTCAGGGTTTAGTTGAACCTTGTGGGGACCCTTTGAACGTGTGTGATGCTCCAGAGAGAGTGCCCAGATTTCAGTGGGGGCCTCTCCTAAACCCTAAATCCCTAGACCCTAAACCCCTAAATCCTAAATCCTAAACCCTAAACCGCATGGCTGAGCGATGATCTGGAACACAGAGGGTCTCAGACATGGGAATCTCCCCAAAAAACTACACAGGTTACAGGGTATAGGGTTTAGGGGAGCGGCATTCCAGATTTTCCTTCAAAAGCTACACAGGTTATAGGGTATAGGGTTTAGGATTTAGGGTTTAGGGTTTAGGTTCCAGATTTTCCCCAAACACTACACAGGTTATAGGGTATAGGATTTAGGGTTTTGGGTACGATATATATATATATATGTATATATGTATATATATATGTATATGTATATGTATATGTATATATGTTTTTGTATAGAGTTTAGGGTTTATGTAGGGGTTTAGGGTCTAAGGTAGAGTCCAGAAATTGAGAGGACCCCTTCCCAAAAACAAAAAAAACATGTTGCTTCCCATGCATCCCAGGCGCCCCAAAAAGGCCCGGCCAAATTCTAAAGCCAAAGTTGTTTTCGGGTTTAGGATTTAGGGTTCAGGGTTTGGGGTTTAGGGTTTAGGGTCAGACATTCCGCCCCAAAAAAAGCACAACCCCGAGACCTCTTCGAGACTTGGGGCTAAATGCCTTGGCATCTATCCAAAGGGCAGTTTCCCCAGAATAGAATTTCAAATGTTTTTCAAAGTCTTAATCTGCTTCGTAGGACCTCCAACAAAGTATCATTAATTTTGGAAGCGCTAGCCGCACTTTACCCCAAATGGTTGATCATATAGAAGCCTTGGAGCCCGTCTCAGACTCTCCTCGATTTAAGGCTTCGGACCTATGACTATTGTGATTTCTTTGAGTGTTATGCTTATTGAGATTGGCTCCAACGGAGCGTAAACGCCCAACAAATGCATACTTGGCCGACCTCTCCGGATGTGGCCTGCGTGGGACAAACCACACATTCGAGGTGCTTCAAGGGCCCGAAAAATTGCGTTACCACACATCGTGGTTTTTCCATGTTCAACTTCATCCGATAACCACAGCATCCATGTCCAAACCATTATAACGTTCGTGTTTCCAGAGCATGCGATAAGCAGAGCATCCATGCGCAAATCATAGTAACGTTCCTGTTTGGAGAGCATACGCTCACCAGAGCATCCATGCCCAAACCATAACAGGTGATTCAGTACTCAACAATTGCGCACCAATGCATTTGCCCGCGTTTACGGTCCGTTTGAGCGTTGAGATTGTCAGAAGTATGATTTGCAGTATTAGACATCCAGCTGAAAGGCTCTTCAGGCACCAGCCCTTGCCTTTGCAGGCCTAAATCTTAGTCCTTGAGGCCATGCTTCTACCCTGAACCGCTTTTTGGTGGTTCGAAGGGTTTAGGGTTTAGGGGTTGCATTTGGCGGACATGCGAGGCTCAGACGATTTGGTAGGTTGTCAACTTTGTGGTCCGTTCTATCGGGTCCTCGGGATTATATACATAGCAACAGATAGGGAGATCTGCCTATGCATGCCGGCCGGAAAAAAGTGAGCCCCCAAAGTGGCGCAACAAGCTGCTTAAGGGTAGTTACAAGTAGGATCATGAGTGTCAAACGGCTATAGAATACACAATAACATACTATAATGACTGTAGTTCTCCAACTTACAATTCAAAAGCGAGCCCAGCTATAGCCACCTATGAACCAATGAACCTCCAGGTATACCCCCTCGAGGTTTTGGGAAAAAAGTCCCAAGCCTGAACATCTTGAAGCCCTAAACCCTAAACCCTAACATTGCCGAGCCAGGCAGACGAAAAGTCNNAAGTCCGAAGGGTTGTAAAAAAGAAGCCTAACACCTAAATCCAGAATCCTAAAGCCAGCCATACACCTCCAGCCCAGAACCCTCTCAACAGATGTACCCTTTCATTATTCTTGAGCCCCCACCCCAAGGTCCTTGAGCCGCCATTCATGCCTCCATGCCTTCGCGGCACCCTCGGCCGCCCAGCCCACATGTCCGATTTGGGGTTTAGGGGGGTTTTATACGCGCGGAGTCTAGGGTCTATGGGGGCTTAGAGTGTAGGGTTTCTGGGGCTAAGTTTAGAGTCTAGGGTTTATGGGTGGTTTAAGCATAGAGTCTAGGGTTTATGGCTGGTGGAAGCTTGGAGTCTAGAGTTTACGGGCACAGAGCGAAGAGTTTATTGGGGTGGGGTTAGAGTTGAGGGTGTTTATGCTTCATGGGGTTTGGTTTTTTTAGAGTTTAAGCCCTAAACTGAGATTTAGAGGTTGATACATGATACCGTTTATGGAGGAAATCTTGCACCACCTTACGTCCCTGAAGTCCTGGAATTACAGTAATGGAGGGCCCCTAGGTGGGGCAAGATGTCATCCCTAAACCCTAAACCCCTAAACCATCCTAAACGCTAAACCTTAAACACTAAACCCTAGACCCTAAACCCTAAACCCCTAAACCCTAAACCCCTAAACCCCTAAAACCCTAAAACCCTAAACCTTAAACCCTAAACCCTAAACACCTTCGTTACCTTTCCAGGCAACATTACCGGCTACCGGGGACGCAAAGGCGGGGAAGCCTGCAGCGGCCAACAGAGGCCGTGGTATTGGGACCTACGCGCTTTAAGGTTTATAGTCTCCCTTAGGTGGATAGAATATGGGGTATATGGAGATCTTATTTTAATATACCCGAGCCATATTCTATCTACTGAAGGGGGTCAATAGGGTTCAAGATTTAGGGTGTAAAGCCGGGTTTAGGTTCAAACCCTACCCTAACCCCTTGCCATTTTCCATTAATTCTGGCGATCGTTACGGTTTAGGGTTCAGGACTTAGGGTCTAGGGGTTTTAGAGGGCTGTACAAGCGTGAATTGGAGAATGGAATCAAAAGTACAAACTGCTATAGTTGTTGGGGCTCATACCCTTCATCTCTCTGACGCCGTAAAGCTTAACCGCGTGAAATGAGTAGCCTCTAAAACACCCTGCTTAGGTAACGTCCATGTTGTTCTGAGAAGGTCGAGGTCAGTGTGTTTGGGACGGAAATTCAGGGTTTAGGGTTTTGGGGTTCCTAAACCCTAAACCCTAAACCCTAAGGTTTTAGGGTTAGGGGGTTGCAGGTTTCAGGAAGTTGGCGTGTAGTTTGAGTTTGGGGCCGGTGGGGAGCGGGTGGGGGATCGGAAATCTACGGTCAGGGCAGTGGAGGTTGGGGGCTAGGAGTGGGGTTCTACTCTTCCCGTTGTTCTTTGTGTAATGTTAACCCGGAAGACCTCAAACTCAGCCCCAAAACTCAATCTTAACCCACTAGAAGCCTTAGACTCATAAAACCTTAATTCCCTCAAAGCCTGATAAGCCAAAAACTTCAAATCCCAAAAATCTGATTTCCACAAAAAACTTAGACCTCCGAAACCTTAAACGTTTAAACCCATCGATTCCCCCAAAGCCTTGAACCACTCAAACCTCGATTCCCCAAAAGCTTTAAAGCCGTGAAACCTCGGTCCCCCCAAAACCTGTAACCCTTAAAATAAGTTGAATACTCCATATTCTATCTACTTAAGGCGGATTATAAGCCACCCCAAATCCAAAATCCTAGTGAGTAATTAAACCCTAGATCCTAAACCCTAAACCCTGATCCACAAACCCTGATCCCTTAGCCCTAAACCTCAAACCCTAAACCTTAAACCCTAAACCTTAAACCCTTAACCTTCAACCCCCTAAACCTTCAACCCTAATTAACCTTTTAGATGCCTTGTAAGTAGAATATCTCAATTTTTATGTACTTATAAGGTGGACTAAACCTATGCCCTCAACCCTAAACCCTCAATTACCCCTAATAAAGCTGGAGAAAGGTCCCCTCAAACCCTAAACCCTAAATCCTATACCCAAAACCCTCTATCCTATACCCTAAACCTTATACCCTAAACCCTAAATCCTAGACCCTAAATCCTATTGAGCTGAAAAGGCTGGAGGAGGCCCTGGTCGTCAACTCAGGGCCGCAGGGTCGGGTGCTTCGGGGCAGTGGCTGCCCCGGGCACGCCGTGTTCGAGGATGTGAGGACGTTCGTCTGGGGTTTTGAAGGTTTAGGGTTTTAAGGGTTTCAGGGTGTCAGGGTGTAGGGTTTAGGGTTGAAAGGCTTAGGGTTCAGGCTTTGGGGTTTAAGGACTTAGGGTGTGGGCGTTCACGGGTTTAGGGCTTTAGGGCCTAGAACGTATTATTAGCAAGGGGTGCGCATTTCACCGCTTGAACATAGGAACCTGTGCTTCCTTTGGACACCCAGAGAAGATCAGGCTTTTACGCCTTAGGGTTGAGTACGACATGATGTGAGGAGACAGCAAAGCGGTTGCGCTCCCCTTTTTTCAGAGTTTGGCTTGTTCCTTGATTTCTGGATTTTTGCGTTCCTATGTTCATCCGGAGCCCTCGTTTGAGCACCCGGATGCCAAAGCGCATTCCAAACAGGGCTGAAATCTCTACATACTTTCAGCAGATTTGACTGCGGCTTGTGTCGGGTATGCTGGAATAAGATGTGGTCGGACGTCGACACTCATATTCATTCTTAGACTGCTCAGCACATAGCCAAAAAAACAAGTTGTCACCATCCCAACTCCTGCCTTCGTTGCCCGTAGGTGGCTCAGCTTTCCAGCAGGACTGGCCGCCCCGTCGGCACCAAGAAGCTCGCAGTCAGACAGCTTCAAACCTGCGGCGCCGCCTGTGGCGCTGCCTGTGGCACTGCCTGCGGCACTGCCTGCGGAGCTTGTGGCGCTGCCTGTGGAGCTTGTGGCGGAGCCTGCGGTGCTGCATGCGGCTCAAGCGGCACTTTCCTTGGCACTTGCCCGGCTGGCGGGGCCTGCGGAGCATGCGGTGCGTGTGGGGGTGGCTGCGGAGCAGCTTGCGGTGCAGCATGCGGCACGGCATGCGGGGCAGCCTGTGGAGCTGCCTGCGGTGCAGCATGCGGAGCTTCCTGTGGAACAGCTTGTGGTGCAGCCTGCGGTGCCGGCTGCGGAGCCGCATGCGGCCCAGCGTGCGGAGCAGGCCGCAGGCTCGCCTGCGGCGCCTGCGGTGCATGTGGTGCTTGTGGCGCATGCGGTGCCTGCGGTGCCTGCGGTGCCTGCGGTGCATGCGGTGCATGCGGTGCATGTGGCGCCAGTGGAGCTTGCGGAGCAGCCTGCGGTGCCTGTG